TAAAATGCCTTTGCCAGAACACAGTTTCAGATTTTTTACAACTCAAAATCAGCACACTTGACTATCTTGGTACTGGTTGAGTATATCATTGAACCTAGTCCACGACGAGAAATAAATCTGTGGAATGCAAGCATAAAGTTTCCTACATTTATAGAAGGGGCAAATCTAGATATAAATCTTAAGTGGTAGCAAAAGTAAGTAAGAGCAGATAATGTTTATCCTTGCTGTCCTTGTGAATAAGAAAATGGAGGTGATTGCAGAACATAATCAGTTGGTAAAGGAACAGCTTTTTGTGTTCAGGCATGCACCTTATACTGTTTCCATTGAAAGCACTTTTTTAATGTGGATTTGACAAACTGTAATCTTTTTATGATCTAGAACTTAACTCTAATTTGGGATAAGGTAGCTTCAACTCTAGTATGAAGCAATTTATTATGAGACCAAGATCAGTAATTCAATGTAGTATCTATCTTTATAAAGTAATAGCCATGGATGTTTTTCTCCAAAATCAAGATCATAGATATGAAAATCTGCCTTTTAAACAAAGAAGACCATGTGTATCCAGCCCTGGGTTAAATGAATAAATTGTAGATACCTTATCTAGGAGCCAACGTATAACATAAGTTATAATTTGATACAGCTTTCGCAGCCTGCTGAATCGGATTAAATCTAGCAATGTGGAAGTTTCTACATCTTGAACAGAAACTTGAAGAGAGGTTTGCTACCTTTCCTAGTTCTGAATCCTCTCCTAATCGATATCTCTCTGTTGATTTACTGATTACTTTCAGACTGAGAGAGGCAACTAAGTCTCTGTTGCTAAAGGAAATGGAAATGTCTCAAAAAGTTAGAGGCACTTTCTCTGCGAGATAACAAGTCAGTGGGGTTTTTCTTCCCGTTGCAATGAAACCACCATTCAGGATCATCAGTGACTGAATCTCAGAAACTATGTTTGACACTGAGGGCTTCCAGTTTCTGGCACATTCGGTAGATATCTATTTAGTTATCACCCCAAAGAATTATTTGATGGCACAGTTCAGGAAACAAATTTGTTGAATATTTAAGCAATTGAACAGCTACTTAAGTAATCATCAGTTCCAAATGAAGAAAAGCCATAAGCATGCAACTCTTCACAGTAATGAAACAGGCGTAAATGTTATTTTGTGGATCAAGGTATCTAAAATATCTTATCACAATGTATGCTTTAGGGCTAGTTACAACATGGATACTAACATTAATTATTTTGAAACTATCAAAATATTTTCTCGGAATGAGAAAAACCTTGAGCACCTTTAATTCACCTCACCAGCAAATCTAGTCCTTATTTATTTCTGGTGGAACAGTATACCAGTTCATATCTAATGTCCACTTTTTTTTTTTTTTTTTTTTTTTTTTTTTTGTGTGTGTGTGTGTGTGTGTAGTAGTAGTAGTAGAATTTTCATTCTCATCAAAAAAGTTTGAGACACTTTTATTGGATCGTACACTCTGGCCAGCTCTTTTTGTAATTTCAGCACAGTCATCTCATAATTTTTCTAAAAACTCGCAATTCAATTTGATTTTGTCTGTTTCAGGGCTCCAGATCAGGCCCAAAAATTTTGACCCTTTAACTAATTCCACATTAAAACCCTTTAAAATCTACCAGGAATTAAGTTCCTCAGAATTTAATTTTCTGAGATTTGTCTTAGCATCTTTGAAAATCTTGACCACTTCTGAAATAATCGGTGTGCATCTTTAACAGTGTCAGCACCATAACACAAATCGTCTACATACAAAGAGGAATATAGCATTTCATAAGTTTTCAGATTTGTGTTTTATATATTTTTAAATGTTGAATTTTATTGTCATTGCTAAAATCACACTATTACAGCACAGTCTGAATAAAGGACATTTAAACTTGAAACTCTGTAGTCTTTCTAATCATCTCTGAAACAAATAAACTTTTTAATAATCTCTATTCCTTTCTAAGATCCTTATCACTAAAAAAAGCTTTTGCTGCATTTCCACTGAAAGGAATTTCATATTTATGAAATTTTAAAATTATGTACAAAATTATTGGGATAAACTAAGTCTAAAGTCTAGAAAATTATTTAAGGATTTTTATACTTTTAGCTCTAGAAAAGCCCACATCGTAAATAATCCTACAGCTTGTAGTTTTTTAGTGTTTTATTATTTCCCTATACTCTATAAAATGTGACAAATCGGTTATTTCCTGCCAGCATTTTTCAGCCTTTATTTGATCTTCAATTACGGGTTTATACTACTGATAAATCTAATGACTTTTAAGAAGTCTATTTTTGAGAACTTCAGATCACCTTAATGCTACTCCAAAATTAATTCTAACTATTCTGCTTCCGATTTTCATAATAAGACAACACAGTATCTATTACCTTCAACTGGCATTCCACTTTCAAATCTCTCAAACATTTCCTTTTCCTCACAAATCATCAATAATGTCCCTCAAATCTGAACTTTACAATGATCTCAATAAATCATATATGCAAAAAGAAAAGGTCACTACTGTAGTGTTTTGAGAAATTATTTTGCTCTCTTGAAGGCCAACTAAGTCCCATCCAAGCACAGAGGAAATTTCCCAACTAAACACAATAAAAATTGTACAAATTTCTTTCCCTCTTTCTCGCCCTTACTATTTTCCAGTACTAACCAACACCTATCAAAATTCGACCAATTTTTATCTAGACAATCAATTTGCTGTTCACACTCATTCATTATTTTCAACGTTTTACTTTTTGACAGGGTGGTCATCTATGCAGCCACAATTGCGTCAGTGACGAGACAGCTAACTTTTATTTTTTAATTTTTTATATTTATTTTTTACTATCTAAAATATAAAATTCTATAATTTTATATGTTTAAGGTACTGTACATTTCATTCTGAAAGAAAAATAGACAGTCCTTCTTCTCCAACAATTTTAAAGTTTAATTTCTCATTACACTAACACGAACAAAGCTTTGTGTAACACTACAATAAAAAATCAAACTGGTCAGCTCAGATCTACCGTCACCAATAAAAAGTGTGTATTCTTTTCAGGAGTTTTTTCCCTCCCTTTCATCTATGAAATTTTCTTGCATGTTTTCACATGATTTTTTTATCTTTTGATTTGAAACCATTTACATTTTTTGTACTTTGTGATATTTTAAACAATTAAATTTATTCCTACAAGATATCCTAATGTGAAATTTTTAAAAACAAATAAAGCATCTATTTTTGTTAAGTAATTTATATTTTTTTTTTTTTTTTTTCCCCTTCTTTAATGCTTTTATCATAAGAAAATGAATTGTGGGACTCTTTGCAAATGATGTATGCACGATTATCAACACCACGGAATAGATTTTAACAACACTGGTTTGGTAACTGGCCAAATGAGCCTTTTATAACAAACATCATAAGCTTCAAAATTCAAAACTGCAGTTTTGATTGCATCGCATAACCTATGTAAATCTTCAATAATATATGAACTCTTTAATAGTTCTAGATTTAATTTATCCATAAATTGACTAATTATTATTTCTTTTTTCCCAAATTTTTCCTTTTCTTTTCATTTAATTCTAATTAAGATACTACATTACTCGCTGCATCTGTAAGTAATGTTTAAACATGAATTTTTCCATCTAACTAAGACTTTCTTTTTTGCCTACAGTGTTTTGATATTTGTTCCAAAACAAAAAATGAATTTTTTAGGATTATTTGAATATTTTTTAACATTAGTTTTGAAAGCTTTACAGCACTTTACATATTTTGCAGTCTAACCATGTTACTTTATAATCTTTAATATTCTTCTATCATTTGATTAATTCATTAAATAGCTCAAGAATACTTTTTCTAATATTCCTCAGAACTAACTACATCCACTTCCACAGAATCTATATCAGTTACAGAGTAAATTGCCTCATCTACACATACAATTTGCATAATTTATCTGTACCTTTCCTTGCCAAATAGCCCTCAATTTTATTAACAGTTTAGAAAGTATTATTCTCAATGCAGTTCTCTTCTGTTTTAATCTATATAGTTCTGCCATTATTTTTTGTCAACACATAAATGTACCTAACACTGCAAGTTATCAAAAGTTCAAATTAAATACTTTTAAAAATTTAATATTAATTATTTTCTTATCAAATTCTTAGGGCATAGTCTAAATACATCTACCCTCTACATTACGATCTACATTAGTATCCATAGTCAATACATAACATCATCATAAAGTTCATAATTCTTTCTTTTTTAAAAGTGAAACATTCTTTTCGGAAAGATGCACTATTGAAAGCAACACCACAAGGTGGCCCATCCAATGTAAACACAGCATTGGTTCATTCTTTGTTTTTAACATTTATTAACATTTTATATACTTTTTTTACATTTGTTCCATTATAAGGTGGACCAACCTTTACAAACATTGTATTGCCTAATGATGTTATTCCCTTCTCATTCCTATGTTGAGCCAGATTTAGATTTGATAAGACCCCTATTTGAGATATGAGGCCCTTAATAAGTCTGTTATACTACCTTTTAATACTATATTTATATTATATTTTAATTTTTGGGGGGTGCATCCAATAATGTGGGGGGCCTAAGCTATTGTAGCTTATACATATATCCTGCACTGACTACATTACATAACATTCTCCTGCCAATACACTATAAACCAAACCTTTTCTTGTTTACATTCACTCCATTGCAAAGCAGCAGCATCTATCTACCTTTCTTTTCAACACTGTTTTTACTTTTCTTAGTTCTTAGTATTATTTTACTGGAAAAGTAAGTCTACTGCAGTTACTAATATACTTGTAATATTTTTAACTATTCCAACTGCAGCTCATTATTTACCCTGGCACAGAATATTTTTTTATATCATTACAAATCACACACACACACACACACAAAAAAAAAAAATAATAATAAAAAAAAAAAAAAAAAAACAGAGAAATAAAAATAAGTATTTATATGTAAAATTTACATTAGTAAATGGCTTGATAACACATACCTCACAACGACATTTCGTGCATTTGTCTTGATTCCAGAGTTCACCAGAATGCCTTCTTGTTTTTGTAGAATCAATACAAGATCCTTCATTTCTAATCTTGCATTCTACTTCTAATTTTCTAACCTAAATTAAGTTAAAAAAAAATCCAACAAAGAACAAGTGTTTTAAATGCGATATTTATACCACACTTCTTTTCGAGTTAAGGTAATTTTTGTATTATCTAAATAAACTATAAACTGAAGCATGCAAAATAAAAGATATACACTTACTAAAATAAATGCTTATACAATTGGTTAGTACTGATAACTAATTATTTTTTAAAGAGAAGTACATACATTTTCAATTGTGACTTAATCAAAAATATATAACCAGGATCACATTTTACATAAAAATTGGCATTATTGTATATTAACAACACATTTCTGTAACACAAAGCATATACTTTTAATCAAATAAAAAAGAAAAATTCTTTTTACTCTACCTTTCTGCTTAGTCTTTGAACAGTCTTCTCCAGTTTTCCAACTAATTCTTCAATGCCTTCTATTCTTTGTTCAGCTACATCAAAGTCATCATCTTGCCATATAAATTTCTTGGATGGAACTGTATTATTCAATATTTGTGGTTTTGAAGAGTGCTCTTTATACTTGACAGATCTCACTGAACGGATATTTATTCTGTTGATTTCATTATTTCTTGAAGCAGTGCATTCTAAATAATAATAATGATTAATACTCACAGTTATAACTTTAAAGTATCTATTGCATTTATACACAGATTTAAAACTTTCATTTTCAAAGTGATTCTCTTCATGAAATCTACTTGAATGTCACCAGATATCATTACACAGAATTCTTGAATGATGAATGTGATTATATGTAAGATGATAGAATCCTAGAAGTGATAAAACTACTTGAAACGACAGTAAAAATTTATTCTTTATTTTGTGAAATAAATATTTAGTTTCATATATAATTTCTAAATAACAATTTCTTATTATAATTGCACAAAAGGTTGCAACTTATGTAAAATGTTTTGCTACTTTCTGATTATCTGCATCCCTATTGAAAAGCCCCGTTCTTCTTTTTCCATACAAAATATGCATACTCCTCTTTTTCCCCCCTGTTGTTCTTCCCATGTACACAAAGCAATCTGTTTTTGCTAAAAATACACTGTCCACTACCTTGGCACAAAAACCCTTAAATGAGAAGGATAAAAAGTGGTGCATGATGCTTTTAAGTGAGCCACATTAAGCAGAAATCTAAATATAAAATTTCACTGAAGACAAAGAAAAATGCAATATGTCACCACTAGGCTAAATTGCTAAAATTCCCATAGGAGGGAATATAATGTGCATCCCACTAGCAAAAATATCCCAAAAAGTGGAAAGCCATATAAGAGGATGCTATGAGCGTATCTGTGATGCCACATAAAAACATTTTGCCAACATCATGGCTTCCCACATAATTTTTTGGCAAAACGGTACATTGCCTCACCAATACTTTTACATGGCTTTTTGATGAGGAAGGGGAGAAGGGACAGCTAATCAAAAGTACCAATGTTTTAAAAAACAATATTCATGAAAACACTGAAGGCTTTATTTAAAAAATTATCGCTTATAACCAGTATTAAATCTAATAAATAAGACAACATTAATGCTTAACCCATTCATTTATTATATTTTTAAAAATAATGTTTGATTAATTTGATCTACTTATATAGTAAGACATCCTAGAAAATTGTAAGCAATTTAAACAATTTGCCAAAAATTAATAATGCCTTTCTTTTTTTCATCATTTTGAAAGAATAGACTTAATTTTATCTAGTTCTAGTGTAAAGTATAAATCCTATTATGAAAGCACAGGTTATGAAATGGTTCATTGATATGCAAGCCACTAAACCATTTCTAATTTTAATACAGGGTTCGTACACATTTCTGCACAAGGAAATCAAGTACTTTTAAGGACTATTAATGAAAAAAAATAAGGACCTATGAGCAAATGGGTACTGAATAAATTCAATTAAAAATGTTATCTCTGCCTGAACTTCACTTTTGTAATACTATCCTAAAAATAAATAGATCTGTAAGTAGGATGCATTATTATTAAACATAAATTAATTAACCTAATTATTAATAAGTTTGAGAATAAAATAAACTTTATGAAATTATCAAGTAGCTCATAATAGTTGGACAGTTTTCAAAGAAGATAAGTGACATTTTATTAACGTTTTACTAACAGTTAGGTTCATGTTGATGCTTTTTATGCCTCATTTTGTCACATTCTTGCTCAGTCTAAAGGTTTGGTAAATAGCAGGTAGATTTTATGTCAAGTGGCATAAGTTAAAATGAAAAGTAAAGTCATAATCAGTATGATTCATAACAAAAGACTGGCTGTTGTCACTGCTGCTACTTGCCTAGAGAGAGACCTACTGATCAGAGGAAACCTGAAAGGCCTGATGCAGGCACGTTTTGAAAGTTAGTTGGGCTCTGTCTGATGCAGTTAGCATCGTAGCTTCCTGTAGAGTGCCAGAGGTTGTAACAGAGTTAATATTCTTTAAGATTCCAGTTAACCACTAAAGCAGCAGAGGTGATTAGCTGTTTTGTATTATTTCAAATCTCACTAGATGCACAGAATAAGTTTTACATTAATTTTTACATTTTTGTGTTTTATCTGGTGACCATGGTAAGGATTAATGAAATGCAATAACTCGCTTTAATGTGCAGAGATTATTTTTAAGGGTAAGCATTAGCTATAAGTAATTAAATTCGATTGTTAGCTAACCTTAAGTCATTATGAATTTACATGGCCACGATTAAATTTTTATTTTAAAATACATGTAATTTATGACATTTATTCTTAAACGATATTAGGATACATTTACACATTAAAAGTAGTTGTTGCTACAAAACATAAATGCTTTGTAGCAACAACACTCTACAAAATATTTATGTGTCTTTTTAATTTTAAACCTTCCCAGACATTTTGGCTAATTTATATTGATTTTCTCTGCTTCTTTTCTAACAATTCGAAGTTTGTCTCAATATGCAAACCAATGTTCTCACTAATTTATGCGTGCTTTATCTCCTAACTTGTCACCTCTCCACAATGTACCTATGAGGGTTTACTTGATCTGGTAAAAGTTAAATAGTCCAAAACTTCCCGACAGATGTGAAGCAAATTATCACTATGTCTGAAAGTAGCTACAAAGTAGACAAAGGTTTAAGTAAGGCACTTATTTAAAAAGAACTTCGAATATAATGTCATGTTCTTATGCTAACAAAATCAGTTACAGCTCATTGTGATGTAGTTAAACAAGAAGAGTCAAATTCAAACAAAAAATGTGGACTAGTGGTCAAAGACTATACAACTGAATTTAAATTTAAGTTGGATCAGTAACTCTAGCATCATAACAAATTCAAATGTTGGCAGCGATAATACAAAGATAAATAGTTACAAATTATCAGAGCTGGCAGGAACTAATGCATGGAGCAAGCGGAGGTCAGAAACACACTTCTGTATTAAACTCCAAAAACCTCAGTTTAAAAACTATCTAAGTGATTTGTATTCCGATGAGGAAATATAAATGGAAAATTATAGTAAAGGCTGAAATTATAAGCAACTGGGTAATTTACATAATCATAACTGTACATATCTTCGAAGAATAATTTTATTTCTCTTTATGTATTCCGTTTCTTTCTTCAATGTGTTTCCTTTTCATTTTAGAATTTTTGGATTTAATTAAACATTTCTGTTATTCTAAAAAAACTAAATGCATTTAGAAATTGCACAAAAAACTCCTAATTTTATTTCTTTAGTAATATGAACATTCAGAAGAAATACGATATGATATATGATAAGGGCCAGTTACACAGCTGGTGCAGCAAAATTTTTAGAATTTACTGACACACTGAGCAACAAAATCTAGAAATGGCAAGACTTTTAGAATTTAGAGCATGTATTGGAAGCATAATTTAAAAAGACACTAGGCACCAGAATTTAGGATCCACCGAGATTGCATCAGGTGGGAATATGCCTAGTGCCAGTCCTGTGCATGATGATGCATTAAAACATATTAGATGAATCTTTTAAATTGTCAGTTTTCAATTTCTTCATTAATAAAGAAACTCCTTTCTATAAAGCCTGGCCATGTGATAAGTTTAGAAGCATTTTTGATATTTCCCATGCTTGTACCCAGTGAAAAGTAGAGAAAACAAAAGGAAGATAAAAATGTTAAGCAAAGATTCTAGTATCAGAAGTAAAACATTCAAATATTATGTTGTCATTGTTCTTCCATATGTTCTCCAAAAGTAAGAAATTCATCACAACCTTTTTTGTAAAATACATCCATTGCGTGTTAATACCATGGAGACATTTTTCATTTTGTCACATTTTTCTGGAATCTTCTAGAATCGCGGGTCTATAAATCTTGCCTTCAAATCCTACTAAAACTTTTGAAGCTGCAATGTCTAAAATCCTACAAAAAAATTACCCTTACCAATTGTGTAACAGCAAAAAGCCAGAAATATTTTGGAAAAAAAAAAAAAAAAAAAAAATGAAAGAGGGAAAAAAGTGTAAAATTAATTTTATAGAGAAAACTGATGCACATTCTGAAAATCCTGAAACAATTAATATGGGAAAAATTTCTTACCATGAAAATATTAAAAAGAAGACATTTTTAATAAATTACATAGCTATTTTGCTTTTGCTAAGAACTAGTTAGTTGCATAAATTGTGGCTTTATAGCATTTATTACCTTCGTTTATTTTCTAAGATTCAAAATATTGTAAGTCGTGAATAAGTGGCCAAGTAATGGAACGCTATAATATGACAACAGAAAATGAAAATGTTTTATTTTAATGTTATTTTTAAATATAATTTCAATGTATTACCATTATTTTAATTGAAATTTTATCAATGTTACAATGTTTTAAAAAAAATCATGGAAATACTCCCAGATTTCGAATCTTAAACATTTTCTACAGAAAGTGACCTTAAAAATCTCTGAATTAAAAATTTTCTATAGAAATTAATCTTAAAATCGCCAAAATGTTGATAAGTCGCTAAATTTAGAACCGCTTAATAAAAGCATTCACATCCCTAAAAGCGAAAAGTTGTTTAACAGCTCTTCATCAGAAAAACCAAAATAATTTTGAAATGCTTATGTTTCACTTCTTGTTCAGAAACTCAAGTATTCCACCATTTATATTAGGAATAGGAACAAATTATAACCCATGAACCCATTCAAAAGATAACCATATTTGTCAGTGAATCGCCAAAAATATTCCTCCAATGTTGATTCACACTCAAAATGGCAGTCGTAAAAACAGACAAAAATTTTAGATGATTAAAATTAAGGACCTTCTGCCGATTTGGGCTGAAATTAAGGCCTTTAAAGGACTCTTAAGGACTGTATGAACCCTGATCAAGAATGTTTGTTTATACTATTGCTACATGCATAGCAAGTTTAAGGATTATGCAGCAGTTTATTAATTTAATGATACTACATTTTTCAGTAAAAATAGATGAAACAAGATTATTGTTTAAACAAACCATTACACCAACAGATATTCAGATAGTGAAGGTGACAACGTTAATATGTATAAATAATTAACGAGTTTATATTAAAATTAAAATAAGATCTGCATTTCTGTCATTTACATTAAAGGTTCTATAATTATTTTTCAGTAAAATTCATTTTTCACATTCACATTTTTCAGTAAAAATAGATGAAACAAGATTATCGTTTAAACAAAACATTACACCAACAGATATTCAGATAGTGAAGGTGACAACGTTAATATGTATAAATAATTAACGAGTTTATATTAAAATTAAAATAAGATCTGCATTTCTGTCATTTACATTAAAGGTTCTATAATTATTTTTTTTTAATGAAAAACGAAGCAAATAAAATACTTTTGAAACCATCATAAGGCAAACATAGGACTACAACTAACAGCAAACAGAAACTGTTGCAATAAATGATAAGCACAACATCATACAAACCTAATTAATTATCAATAAGCTGATTAAATTTTTGCAAATAACAATGCAAGTTAACTGCTGTTTATGTGTTTTCCACTGCATTTTAAAAAAGTTATTAAAATTTGGGACCTACCTTCGTTGGAGTAGCATGCAGTAGAGCTACTTAGCTACAGTACAAAGTCTTTAATCCGGACACGTTGGGACTTCGGCGATTCCAGATTAGGTGTTTTTCCGGATTATAGATCATTAGTTTAAATCTGGTAAGATGGCATTCAGAAATTATAAAATTAAAAATATGAAATCGTAATTTATGAAATAAAGAGCAATTATGATCTAAAGGGTATCAAAATTTACAAAAAAAAAAAAGCTTAATATTTATTCGTTTACTTTATTAAAAATTTCTTTCAATGTAAGTTACTTAAGTTGCTTCATTTTTTGTGCTAATACTTTCTCTTAAATTCTATAAACAGACATAATTTCTTGTGCAGTTACAAAGTTCCGCTGTTCAAGTCCTGTAATTGCTGTGCCGAGAATACCAACTAACTTGTCAATCAAAATTTTTCGTTTTCACTAACCTCTCTGTCACTTTCTTCATGCCTTTGTTTGTTTGATGGACATCAAAACATGCTTTTGCTTTGTAGATCCTTTGCCAGCTCCAGAATCGAAAACTCTTTTTGACATAATCGAAATATCAAGCTTACTTTTTATAAAATTGCTCTAACAATCTGCAAAAAATAATAAGCTGGATCCAATTAGAAGATTAAAGAACAACGCAATCTGCAACATTAACTGAAATAGATAATTAAAAAATTTTAACCTAGCTTATACCGTCCGTTATACATTAAACGTGCACGCAGAAAGTTTGCAACTTTGAGGTCCGGATTATAGATCATTCCGGATTATGGACTTCTGGATTAAAGACTTTGTACTGTACACTTTTCTTGATACCAAGATTTTGTAATTTTGAAAATTACAAAATCTTGGCAGCAGTCTGTTAAAAAGGACAATGCATGGTAATGGACATGATATGCAACTTTATTTGAAAATGGATATGCACTGGCAACATGAAGCATTATGATAAGTGATTGAAGTTCCTTTATATGCCACATCGTAACTTGTATATATTGATTATCTAACTAAAAAAAGAGCAAACTCTTCCTTGAAACTTGTACCAGAATGACTGGCACAAATTTAGTAGGTTCTCTGTTAATTTCCATAGTTGAAAAAAATTCATAATCAGATAAGATAGTTTACTTTTAATATGTCAGCTTTTATGTCGGAAATGATTTTTTTTTTTTTTTCCTGAAATTCCTCTTAATGTAGGCTTTTGATATTCAAGCTAATAATGATAAAAAATAAGATGACTCTTTTTATAAGTTTAGACTGGAAATTTTTTATCTATTCATTTGGCTTTTCTATTGTGGACTGCATTTTTTATATACTCAATAATCCACAATTTTTGCATACCAAGCATTCATCATTTTCTAAGACTTCTATTGAGAATAGTTGAGATTTTATAATACTGCTATAATCATCTTTAAGAATACAAAGATATATCTATCAAATTATAATGGGTTGGCAACTAAGTAATTATGGATTTTTTTTTAGAAAATCAAAGACAATTTTTTCATGGAACTAAATAACTTTATTCTGTAATGTATTGCCCATTTTGATCAATAACCTTTGCCATCTTTAGCAGCATCAAAATCCACGTTCATAAAACTTCTGGTTTTTATTAGCAAAAAATTGAATCAGGTACGATTTGACATATCATTATTATTGAAATTTTTACCATTCAAGGATTTTTGTAAAGATAAAAAAAAAAAAAAAAAAAAAAAAGAGTAATCAGATGGTGCAAGGTCAGGACTATATGGTGGATGTGGCAAAGCATCCCAACCAAGCACCAATAATTTTTGCCGAGTGACCAAAGATGTGTGTGGCCTTGCATTGTCATGATGAAATACAACACCTTTTCGATTTGTCAATTCGGGCCACTTTTCTTCAACTCAATGTAAACATCAGAATTGATCATTCGGTTGGGTGGTAAGAGTTCAAAGTAGACAATTCCTTGATCCCACCAAACTGATAAAAACCTCTTTTGATGATATCAGCTTTTGATGTGTTTGAGTTGGCAACTGGCCTGCTCCATGATCTTTTCGCTTGATGTTGTTGTAAACAAACCCATTTTTCATCGCAGTTATCAGTCATTTTAAAAATGGATCATTTTCATTACATTTCTTTAGCAAAATCGCAGCCGTAATGTGTTGCGTTAAATGCGTTTCTTTCATTAGTGAGGAACCCATGTATCGAGTTTTTGAACATAGCCAAGTTGTTTTAAGTGATTTCCCATGCATGATTCTGATATATGAAGCTTCTCTGCAATCTCACGTGTTGTACTGTGATGATCCGAATCAATTATTGCTTTGATTAGGTCTTCATCAACTTCAACTGGACGACCAGAGCGTTTTTCATCTTTGAGTGAAAAATCACTAGAACGAAATTTGGCAAACCAATTTTGACACTGCCATTCTTTTAAGGCTTTGTCACCATAAACAGCACATAACTTTTTATGAGCTTGCGATGCGTTTTTCCCTTTGCGGAAATAAAAAAGCAAAATATGGCGAAAATGTTCCTTTCGATTTTCCATTTTTCAACGAACACCAAACAAAAACTACGCAACTGATCAAGAAACTTTTTTTACTGATTGACGCTGAATTGCCAACTATCAAATAACAAAATGTGTTTTACATTTGTACTACGTCTGCAACCCTAAAAATTCAACTGAAGCCATCTATGAATGAAATCTGCAATTACTTAGTTGCCAACCCAATATATTATTACATAAATAAAACTGATAATAAAAAAATTATGTATGAGAATGTTTACCTTGGCAGCATTCTGTCCAGACACTTAATTCAACTTTAGGTACTGCAGAGCATTGAACAAAATTTGGAGTTTGCAGATGGGGTACAGTAAATACATCTTGGGTAACAGATGTAATGTTATCACCATTATCACACAGAACCCTAGCTAATGAGCTTTGCTTAATTTGAATTAACTGGTTTGGTGAAAATATTCCAGGATTTTCATACCAAAACCTATGAACAATATTAACAGAAATCTAAATATTACTAGAAATTTTTAACATTTTCCTACAAACACATATATGAAAAACTTACCTGACATATAAACCCTTAGCGACCTATCTGCTTATGCAAATGAAATTTCAGATATTGTTATTTGAAAGTGTACACTCAACATTATGATGATTTAACACAAATAAATATTGTGGCACAGAAAAAATTTCGAAATTTTTAATCGGAATCACCCATTTTTTTCCTACACAAATTGATCAGTGCACTGAAAAAAACCATAAATGGCATCGGAATAATGTATGTATGACACAAATTGCTGGCATAAAACATTTGCAAAGAAGAGCTTTAAAGGACCAATGACAACACAGAGGAAAAAAAATGCATTGATGCATAAATCACAGGGATAGACAGTAGAAGCACCAACCATAAAAAACCATGTGCAAAGCACTGCTTGTGGAAAAACCTTTAATATGTAGTATAAAAAGATTGTTTCTTCAGTCAGATGTTCGAATATGCTAACAATATGGCATTTACAGGGAAACAATGAGGTGAAATGATAAAGCTGTTTTATTTGAACAAGGAAAATGCTGCCAAAGCAATGCAAGTTTATCAGCAAAATCTGAAAATGAGACCTATGTTCCATAAAAACTCTATGCGATTCAGTGGAAAAAAATTGAAGAAACTGGATGCACATCCAGATGATCAAGTATTCTTGTTGAAATTGTTGTGGGAGTGCATAATATGATTACTGCAGGTCCATTGTATACTGCAAGAAGTGTTGCTCACAGTTTGAATGTACTGTAAACCACAGTCTTCAAGCTTTGTTCTATGTATGTTTCCTTATGAATTCCAGTGCATCCAGATGTTGCAGCCTGGAGACGAGCAACAGTGGGTCAACTTTACAAAATTTTTCCCATCAGATATGATGAAAATAGCAGGTGGCCATTGCAGATATTATGAATGGATGAGCTGCATTTCTCTTTAATTGGGAACATAAACTCCAAGAGCTGCATTTACTGGATTGATGAAATTCCAAGAGAGCCTTTACACAAAAGTGACTGTGTGGTATGGCATCGCAAGCACATTTATTCTCTGTTCATACTTCTTAGAAGAAATTGTTTCCACAGGTATAAAAATAAGTGCTCAGTATATAATAATGTTGCAGAATTACATAATTCCAGAACAGCAGCAGCGAACTGTCATCAGTGATATTGTATGGATGTAAGATGGTGCTGCTCCTTATATTGTCACACGTGGTTGGCAAATGCTGCAACAGCACTCTGCTGATACAGTTACCTCCTATAACTTTGTAGTTTTGTGCTTATTCTATCCCCCAACCTCATTCCAATGGATTTCTGGCTCTAGGATTATCTGAAATCTAAGGTTATATATATTATATTCATGAGATTTTTCAGAATTAAAAGATGCCATAAACATGAAGTTACATATATTCCTGCTGCGATGTTATGTTCGTCATCGTCGTCAACAATCTCCCGCATATAATGCATTATCATCTATGAAAGTAGGCACGTTGAAAACTTGTAATTCCAATAAAAGTTTTTTTCCCTCTTCTCTCTTGTGTTATCATTGATCTTTCACAATGTTCTTCTTTGCAAATGTTTTACACTGGCAATTTTCATTATATGTGTATTGTTCCAACACCATTTATGGCTTTTCAATGCCCTGATCAATTTGCACAGGGAAAAAACTGGGCATTGCCATTCGAAAATTCAAAAATGTTCTCGCTGCATCACAACATGAGAGCTGTATTGTTTAAAATCACCATAATCTCAAGTGCATACCTTCAAATAACAATATCTGAAATTTCATTTCAGCTGGTTGAGTGGATAGGCTGCTACAGGTTCATATACAGGAAAAAAATTTTTTATGATCAGCCTGTATATATAAACAAGCTATCTCACCTGTCTCCAGATCTAACCCTTTTAAATTGATCAATGAGAAGACATAAAAATGTTGGTCCAACTTTTGCATCTTCCACAGGTTCTTCACTGATTCCTCCAACCCAAAGATCAATATTATCTTAAAAAATACAATGTTTAAAAAATTCTGTATTACACTGTAAAAAAATAAGACAGCAAAGAAATAATCCACTTAAAAACTGTGTGAATATACCCCAGATATTTCTGGGATATTTTTACTTTGAATAAAAATGTTAGAAAAGTGTAATGTAACAACATGACAGTCTTGAATTTGAACAAAATGCAGATTCATAGTATTCCATAGAATAATTAGAACTTAAAAATGATTTTAAATCAATATAATTTAATTACCCTAAAAAGTAATGAGTTAGTCTTTTGCAAAATTAAGGCACTGAATGGTTTCAATTGATTTTATGTTATGCTTCTTTAACTGTTTTAAAACAATTAATTTGCTTGGAAGAAAAATTAACCCAAGCTTTCTAAAAGAAAATAAGTTCAATTAAGTGTTCATCAACATCTTTCGATTAAAACAAAAATCTAACAGGTAGATTTAAATGTCAGTTTATATAAAAATAAATCTATCAATATTACTTTAAAAATATGAGTTTTTTTTGACTTTTTATTTGTTTATTTTTCAGTTTGTGATAAAATCTTATTTATCATAAACGGATGTTGCTGCCAACTAATGCTTAAAATCTTTCATTTATCTTCACTATTATAAAAATGTATTGCTCAATATAGCTTAAGTATGTGGACTTCTTCCCATTTTTCAACAAGTGTTTTAGTATTTTTTTCAACTTATTCAAAAATCTACCCTCAAAAAAAGAAATGGGAAACAAAGGTTAGAGTTTTTCTAATTGATTTTTTTAAAGTTTTAATTTTATTCAAAAGAAAAGATTTAGTGTCATGATTTGGCAATAGTAGATGTTATTTTTTTCTAAGAAGAAAAATTAAATATTTGTAGCAGTTTATGAAACAATTTTAATAGTAAACTTTTTCAGATAACAGATTATAATCTGGAATTTTAAGTTTTGTTTATCTATTATTATAGGCTTTCTTCCTCCCTCATGTACTACTTATAAATATTACCTTAATTCATGTCTTATTTAGATTCAGAGTTAAATTAGACTATAATCTTCTGCACACATTTATACTTAAACACTTTGTCTCATTAATTCCTTAGATGCCGAATTAATCAAATCTAAGGTAACTAAATAGATATTAAAAAAGGTACTATTAGATTAACACAAACATATCTGATAAGTTATGTACTGTAGTTGAGCTGAAAAAAAGTTCAAATTATTTTACACTGAAGGAAAGTGAGCTTTTGTTAGATATCAGTATCACATAAATGAATAGTACACTGTTGCATTTAGATGAACTACATGCAATAAATTATTACAATAAAATAATAGCTATGAGAGAGATCTGAAAACTAACTATATTTGCTCCAAATTTTATTGGAACATTTTTGGATTAAAGAGGACTAATGAAATATAACAGAGAGTAAATATTTGATGGACACATAATCTAGGAATTGAGTAGAATCATACAAAATTATAAACACAAGTTATGAAAACATACAACTGTAAGATTTAATTGTCAGTGCTAATTAAAGTTTTATTCAGAAAAGTTAAGTAGCAACTTCTGCTCAGTTGCTACTTAATTTAGTTAAGTACCAGATTACATCTGAAAAATAAACCATTAGATTCTCAATATAACTAAATTAGTCTATTTTAAGAAGGTACACTGCAGAAAAAAAAGGGAGGCAGTTCTATATCTCCCGTTCTACTGGGCCGACTGACATAATTCAAATTGCGTTTCTTATGTCTAAAAAGTGCGACTTAGGATATATATTAGATTTATACATAGCATTGTTCTAACATAGATATTTTGAAATGAAACCAGATTTTTTTTTTTTCTGAAATAAAATACCAATTTTTTCTATATTTCAATTTTACGACTCAAATTATGCCTAGATATTAAAAAATTTATCTTGGCATAATTTTTTCAGCTTGCGCCAAGACTAATTTACTTGGCGAACTTCTTAAAATATGGCAACCAATTTTCCTCTTCCTTCCATAATGCTGGAGCTGAAAACAGGGCACCTCGTTCCTACCTTTTTACATTGTGCATGAGAAATTTTTTGAATTCAAAAAATTTTTTTGAAAAATTTATAAAAATTATTTAAAAATACAAATTTTAAAAATAATTCACATAAAATGGCTGAATTTTACTTGGAATGAACCTGAATTTTGAAATGTGAAAGGAAGAATTAAATAAGTTTAATAAAAAAAGACAGATTAATAAATATATACCAAACTTAATTAACATTGAAGAGCTAAAATTTTTAGAGCTAATTTTTTAAAAACTACTTGTGCGAATTTTACAAAACTTGGTAGTTTGGCGTAATTTAAGTCATAGAATTGAAATATGAAAAAAAAATGGTATGTTATTTCAGAAAAGTCCGATTTTGTATCAAAATACCTATATTACAAAACAAGAAAAATGCAAGTTGAATTTCTCAATCGGCCCACCCTGCTCAGTGTACATTATTTCTGACTTCAAGATAAAAAATTTAGTTCTTTTGTATGTTTATTAATATCTGCATAAGAGTTACAAACAGAGAATATTATGACATATTCCATTTTAAAATTAATACAGTACAAAGTCCGTAATCCGGATGTCCATTATCCGGAATGATCTATAAACCGGATCTCAAAGCCACAAACTTACGCATGCGTATTTGATGCGCGCGTCCGCTACGCATGTGCGTAAAGCCAGTAAAGCGTTTACCCATGCGCGCTTCCGATATTGAAGAAAGTAACAGGGAACTTATTGAAACGAAAAATTTTGATTGACAAGTAGAGGTTTCTGACACCGCAATTACGGACTTAAACATTGAAAGAAATGTTTAACAAAGTAAACAAATAATTATTAAGCTTTTTTTTTTTTTTTTTTTTTTTGTAAATTTTGATACCCTTTAGATCATAATTGCTCTTTATTTCATAAATTACGGTTTTATATTTTTAATTGTATAATTTCTGCATGCAATCTTACCAGATTTAAATTGATGATCTATAATCCGGAAAAACCTCTAATCCGGAATCGCCAAAGTCCCGACGAGTCCGGATTACGGACTTTGTACTGTACATATAAAATATAAGAATAATAAATCAACTCCTTAAACCAGGGGTTGGCAAACTATGACCCATCACCTGTTTTAATCTGACCTGTGGTTTTATATTGTTTTTTACATGAAAAAAATTAAAGTAAATACAATTATGTGCTCTAACGCAATTACCAATAGGCAAGTTGAAAAGTTTTACTAATAACAACCGCATGGTGGCTCTACTAGCACTGCATATTAAGAACTTGTTGTCTGCCTTTGCTGTAGAACATGTGTTGCCAGTTGTCACAGTTTTGCTTTAATGGAGCCTGTAATATATTTTGTAACTTCTTTTAACACTTACTGACTATTCGCAAGCTGAGATTTTTGTTCTTTTTATATTATTTTATTTCTCACTCACCATCGCCGTGTCACTCTCAAAACCAGATAAGAAGACGAAAGTGGACTTTGAATGTCCTTTTAAAGCAGAATGGAGTATGAATTATTTCGTCATAGAATTAAATGATATAATAGCTGTGTGAAAAGAGTATAATATACATTGTCATTACAAAACTGAATACTGAATACAATATTTAAAACTTACAGAAAATGAATAACCATTAAAACTGGAAAGTTTAAACAGAGTGCTTCATTCCAACACAATTTATTTGAAAAAGATAATTAAAAAAATAAGACAGTAATTAAAGTCAACTTATGAACAGTTCATTTATAAACTACAAAAGATAAATCTCCTATGAAAGATAAACTGATTATGAATTAATTAAATCATGTTTGCATGCAATCAAAGAAATATGTCCAGAGAAAACAGATTTGTTTTGATCTGCCAGCCTTTCAGTGAGAAAAAGTCTTAGAAGAATTGAGGTCATTGAGAACCACATCAAAAGTCAATTAAAAGACAAGACAAAAAATTTCAAATTATTTTCATTGGCTGTTGAGGAGTCAACAGACATAACTGGTACTGCCCACTTGCTGTTTATTCGAGAGGTCAGTACTGAGTTTGAAGGGAATGATGTGTATAGAACAACTAGAGGTGCAAATACCTTAAAAAGGAAATCAAGAAAATGCTAGCATAGTACAATTTACAATAAAAATCAGTTAAAATATGTCTCATTTGATGGTGGTTAAAATTAGATGAAAAAATTTTTAAGGCTTGTGAAGAAGCTAAATGTTCAGAACTTTTGATCTTTGATTATATTATTCATGAGTAGGCTCTTTATAGGAAACATCTCAATCTGTCATGTGTTACTGAACCAATTATATCAGTGAAATTTATGAATTCCTGTGGACTTAACCATTTAGTATTGGTTACCCTATCTACAGACTTCCTACTCTTGTCTACCAACAGAAGAGGAATTTAAAGCAATATATCTGTGATGCTTCTTACCAGCATACAACCAAACATAGAACTGCAGTTCAAGAATTGACATCTTATTAACATGAAAACAAACATTTATTTTGGTTTATAAGATAAGGAGTATCCAAATTTGCCTTGAAACAATAGCTTTGAATTTAGATTTGTTTAAGAAATACAATTTTTTTCTATTAACTTAATTATTTGATACTAATATAAAATTACTTTTAATTAAATATATTTTAAAAATATTAGTATGCTCATAGTAACATAAGCTAAAACATTGCCTTCAAAGGAAAGAAAAATTAAGATGGTCTACAGAATATTTTAACTTATAAAAGTGGTTCCCATTTGAAAAAAGTTTAAGGAATGCTGATCTAACCCAGTTCTTTAGCTTTTGGAAGGTAAATACAATAATTTAAAATCATATGTAGAAGGAATATATCTCTATTTGGGAGTATTTAAATTTAAATTTTAACAAACACGTATAAAAGTAAAAAAGCAAAATTAAAGCCAAAATAATTTTTAAAAAAATATTTATAAAAATGTGCAAACATATAAAAGATTTAATTCTTGAACTAATCTACAATATCATTTAAATTCAGAAGTATAAACAAATCAAGTGCAAAAACAATCCATGAAAATAAATTCAATAATTTAGCAAATAAAAATTAATTCAAACAATTTTTTTTAAAAATGCATAAGTGAATGACTGTTGAGCAGGCAGGAGACAGACTTATAAAGGGAAAGTTGCCCCCAAACTTAACTCTCCAATCATTCAATTCATGTTTCGTCATTCATGCGGGCAAGGGTAAAAGTCAAAACCAAAAGTAAACAGTGAAGAATGTCCAAAAAGAAATACCAATAAAGTGGTACCCTTAGAAATTAGCATTTAAGAATTAAAGTTCTAAAAAGAAAAAATTAAAAGAATTCTTTTGATAAACAAGCAAGTAAAGTCAAGTATTAAATTTTTTTTTAATTAAATTTTTAAAAAATTAATTTTTTATAAAAATAATTTAGAAACCAATGTATTTTAGAATCCATTGTCTACAGAAACCTCCCGACACGAATATGCATATCAATAAAAAGAAAACTAAAAAGAACTAAACATACTCCATATAAACCAATAAGAAACAAAAAGAACTAATTCACAATTTTTAAAAAAAAAATATATACTTAAAGAATAATTACATATCTAGAAAATACTTAAATACTACATAAAAAATTTTTAAAAAATACTTAAAGCAAGTAAATAGTAAGTTTTAATTCTAACTTACCTACTATATGAGCGTTGTGGTCTGTAAAAGTGTTTTAAAGAGCAGTAAGTGTGTTCTTCAAATTAATTATATAGATGGCGCTTATGTAGGTAAAGTTGAGTGCCAAGCTGCTATCTTTGTTATATTAAATTTTTTTTTTTTGCAAACATTAAAATAAATAAATCTAGAATAAATTAAATTAAATTAAATTAAAAATTAAAAATCCTAAAAGTATGCAATTCAAGTTTTAATTTTAACGATCAATTATTTAGGGAGTTAAGCCAATCATGAGATGTAAGTTTGCTTGAAGTAAAATAGAGTAAATGGTAATGTGAATTAATAAATGTAAACTGTTTGTAATGTGAAATGTGTGGTCTGTTAAAAAATTGTGCAAATATTGCAATACACATAATAAATGTAATTAAGTAAAAATGAAATGTTTTAAAATTTAAGTTTAAAAGTAAAATTTAAAATGTCAAAAAATGTCCTAAAATTTTTTTAAACGAATTCCTTAGGGGAAAAAAAAAAAAAAGGGATTCTAAATAAATTGGTTTCTAAATTATTTTTTATAAAAAATCTTTTTTTTTAAAATTTAATTAAAAAAAAAAAGTTTAATTTATACTTGACTTTACTTGCTTGTTATCAAAGAATTCTTATTTTTTTTCTTTTTAGAACTTTAATTCTAAATGCTAATTTTATAAGGGTACCACTTTATTGGTATTTCTTTTTGGACATTCTTCACTTTTTACTTTTGATTTTGACTTTTACCCTTGCCTACATGAATGACGAAACACGAATTGAATGATTGGAGAGTTAGGTTTGGAGGCAACTTCCCCTTTATAAGTCTGTCTCCTGCCTGCTCAACAGTCATTCACTTATGCATTTTTAAAAAAATTATTTGAATTAATTTTAATTTGCTAAATTATTGAATTTATTTTCATGGATTGTTTTTGCACTTGATTTGCTTATACTTCTGAATTTAAATGATATTGTAGATTAGTTCAAGAATTAAATATTTTATATGTTTGCACATTTTTTTAAATATTTTTTTAAAAATTATTTTGGCTTTAATTTTGCTTTTTTACTTTTATACGTGTTTGTTAAAATTTAAATTTAAATTTGTTTAAATTTAAATTTCCTTCCTTGCAGCAATGGCACAAAGAATTATGTAATTAAATTTGTATTTATTTAATTAAATTCACTTTATTCTTTTGAAACAATCTATTTGAGAGTACTTGCTAATGTGAAAGGACATTTTTGAAAATGAAGTATGTAAAGTTGCAATACAGATTATTATTAACAGATGACCATTTGCAAACAACATTAATGACAGGAAATACTAACTTCAGATTGCAGAATGATGAAATTGTATTATCTCAAGAAAAAATAATAACATTCAACGCATTAGTAAAAAATTTAACTTGTTCTATAATACATTTATTAATAAATGGAAATATTTTACTTGTGTTTTTGATATGTTTATGCAAAATGTGTATAAACAGTATGCCAAAATATTTCCTAAAAAAACTTTTTGAAGCTTTTTTTTACTCCTTTTTTTCTGGCCCACCAAGGTCTAAAATTTTTACAATCTAGCCCTTTCCACAAAAGGTTTGCCAACCTCTGTTTTAAACTGTAAAATACTTTTTAAAGCATTAGCTGAAAAGTAAACATACCTGGATGCTTATACAAATGCTCAAGTTTTTTAAGTAAAACAACATCTTTTATTTCATTTCTAAAATCTTCAAATGTAGTAGCTACTGTAAGGTTGCAAAATTTTCTCCATTCATTGTAGGAAGGTAAAGCATGATCTCTTCCCCTTTGGATATTCAAGGCAGCTAAGTCTTGAGCTACTAAATGAGCAGGCTAGAGATTTAAAAAATAAATAAATTTCTTTATTTGAAAAAGAAATTTAAATTATGAAATCAAAAAAGAATTAACACTGCGTTCTAAAAGATTTATGTTCTGCTATAAATTTATCTATATATCACTAATGAAATTTGCATTAAAAAGACATTTCAGCTGGATATTGCACATAAAAAAGATATAAAAATTAAAACAACTCATTAGCATTTACTCCTTTTCTTTAGCGTTATTTGTGTTTTGGAAGGATAACTTACATTGTTTTTTCATTAAAAAAAACTACTACTATTTATGTTGGTTTAATTCTTCAGTTCTTCTACTTCTAATACAGACTAAGTCTCCTACTCCTAAATAATTTTTAAGTCTTTTAAATGTACAGCGAGCTTCTTCCATAAATTAGCTCAGCAGCAGCATAGTAGTAAAATTGCTGAACAATAGTAATTCTGACCTGGATTCAATTCCAGGTGAACGGACTGGCTGCATGGGCCTTTTTGTGGCATATGTAGTATGTATATGAGTCAATTTTCCTTAGAAAATCCTCCACGAAGCCCTCCCTACCCTTAGGCAGATAGCTGTAGTATCCTTTGCTACAATCCAGTAATGCCCTCCCCCTAAAAAAAACTCCTTATAAATCACAGTCAGTGGAAATAATATGCTCTTCCTTGCTTCCCAAAACAAAAGATAACAAATATTTTAAAAGCTAGTGTTTAAAAGATAATACCATGTCATAGTTTTAAAGTAAATGGTACAGTTATTATTTCTCAGACAGAGAACTCCTTCATATAAGATTTAATGGGCACTTATGGAATATCACAATCACCTTAGTAGAAGTCACCAAATTCTCACAAGTTACCTAACTCTAGAAACCATTCACATAACACTTTTTTAGGCAACGATATCTATTGTAAGTTGCAATTCGAAAACTCATCGAATCACCTTTTTCTTCTGTAAAAAATTCTCAAACTGTGCCAAGGTGGTTGGGCTAATACATAACTACCACTTAATATATGCTTCTGTTAAAAAACTTCCCAAAAAGTCATGTCATGTATGAAACTGCAGTGACTAACTTGATTGCTGGATGGTATTAGCTTACTTTTTACAGAAGAAAGGCATGAAGTGACACCATTCTGAAGAGTGTGATTCACGCTGTAATGCAAGCAGAACTAAATCTTTCACTCATTTGGAGCAATGTTGCATTTTGAGGAATGAAGCCTAGGATTCTGAGCTCAAAAACAGATTTCTGTCACGTCACAGTCGCCTTATTTACCAGATTGTTCATGTTTGATCCTCCTCCTCTTATCAAGATGATTCTATAGAATCCGTATTTTTATGCAATTCCAGTTAGACAAAATGATACAATGGCAAATTTATACTAGATATCAAAACAGCCTTTAGTCAATATTTATATAAATATTAAAAATGCTAGAGCAACTGTGTGTATTTCAATAGATGTTACTTTCAAAGTTATTGCATAAACGTTTTTACATTTAAAACAGGACTGCCCTACAAGCACTTCTCTGATAGAAGTATTGAAGGAATATTGCAACTGACAAACATATTTACATGAATTACCCCTTCAGATACTTATTTTAGTAGACAGGAATATTTATAGATACTTTGAAACAGGAAAATAAATAATTATCTTATAAAATTAAGTTGCTTTGCAGAAACATAGAATAATATTGCATATCTTTGGTACTGTAGTAAATTACTAAACTTTAATACACCTGAAGCCAAGTTTATTTCACTAGTTACAAATACTAATCAAATCATTAAATTAAAATAAATATATGCCAATTGTTTTAAAGGAAGTTTTTAAATAGTATTTGAAACTTACTGTAAACAAATGTTCAGTCAGATCTGAATTGAGAAGCTGATCTGGTTTCTTGAGTTTTGCTGGAGCATAAATCAAGCCTCTCATTAATGGATCAAGTCCGCCTTCCTCCAGCAGGCGAAAAGGTGCAAAAAAAGCTTTCCTTAATGGGATGTTCCCTTGTGGAATAGGTTGATATGTTTCATTTAGTCTCATTAATTCAGGATTAATCAAAGTGTGACCAAATCGCAAAGCTGCTGTTGCAAACACATTAGAAATAGATGGATTAACATTTGCATCATATCCTGTATATTGCCCTAGCTGATCATATCCATTTTTTCCTAATATTTTGGGCAACCAATGAGCATATGTGATATGTTGCATAATAGCTCCAACTATCTTCCTGGCTTCATGGTACAATTTATCATTATCCCAATGAGGATTATAATTAAACAGCTCTCTGGCTATACGATTATGCTCTCTCATCCATAAAGTATGCATAGATAATAAACCAAGTTGCTCGTTTGCTCTCACATCTCCTGCCAAAAAGCAATCAATAGTACTTTCTGTCAGATCTCTTTTGCAATCTATAGGCTGGCCATCATTGAAGGGCAACAAAGGTTTTCCTGTATGCATAAGTACTCCAGATCGTAACAAGCCTCTGTTGCTACTCATCTCTCGTAAATGTCGAGCAACTCTCTCATTACTTCCATACACATTTGATGCATCTATAAATGCAGTTAATTGATTTACCTGTTCTCGAGGTTTCACTGTATTAAAGAAGACTGATGTAAGACCTGATCCACAAACTGAGCTAGAACGAACAAATTCCATACATCTATGTCTATTAATACGTTTATCATCAGGTGGTACTTCAATTGGGAAGCATGGAGCAGCAAATTCACATGATGTTGCACAATCTACTCCATCTGTGAAACTTGCATGACTTATGGAAGGCATGGAAAAATCCAAGTCATGATCTAGAAACTGACCCCACTGCATAAGCATGTGAGTGAATTCGCTGTCATGAGAAATAAAATCTGTAGAAATAACTGTTGTTGACACAAGTCGAGCACTTGGTTTAATATATCCATTGTAGAGATGAGACTTAGACCAACCTGTTGATGAAATTGTAACAAGTAGCTGTATTATATATGTATATACATATTAAAAAACAGATAAAGGCACTGAAAGTCTATATTAAAAACAGAAATACATATAAAAAGTATTTATAGAATTAAAATATAAATAACATATTTTCACTCTTGACCACACAAAAGTCAGTCACCATAAAGGAAAATAAAAATGAAATTATAGATAATAAAGTTTAACATCACAAACCAAAAGACAACATTATAAAAACCATTCAAAATCTGCACCAAAATGGCCTTGTCAGCAAGAAAAATGCCAAATAATTCACACCATTGCAGTGTAATGGAATAACAGTTCAAATTACGCTTTCAACTTAAAAATTCTAGCATTCCATAACATTAAAAAGGAATCCAAGTAAATAAATACTATTAGGCAGTCAATGCCAAAGAATATGTTCACTGCATTAAATAATTTTTAACAGATTCAGTATGTACCAATGCATTCTTGGGCTTAGTTATATTTATTGTATGGCTTTTTAGTTTTCAGATGCTGCAAAACTTTGATTTAGATTGTGTACCTGGTTCAGTGCAATGATCTAAATACGAGGGTTGGAACTTTAATAATGGCAACTATTTATTTACAAGGAATACAAAAGTGATTCATGTCACCATGTTTTACAGTCCTTCAATATAGTCGCCAGCATTGGGGACAACCCGTTTCCAACGATGTGGAAGTCGCAGAATACCTGTAGCAGCGTCTGTTTTGTTGATAGTTTGAATGGACCGGGTCTACTGCCAATAGAATCTCAGGAACAGTTTGGAAGCGAGTGCCACGAAGTGGTTCCTTCATCTTAGGAATTAAGTCATAGTCAGAAGGGTTTAGATCTGGGGAGTATGGTGGATGGTAAAGCACTTCCCAGCACCATCGCTTAAACAAATCAGTCACAGCTTGCACTGCATGCGGCTGAGCATTGTCATGCAAAATGAGAGGAGAGTTCTGCAGAAAGTGTCGCCGTTTTTTCTCAAAGCTGGTCGGAGATTGTGCTCCAAAAATGAGCAATAATACTGCGCAGTACGGTCTTTAGTGAGGGAACGGTATGCGTTAGGATGACACCATCACAGTCGTACACGAGAATCACCATAACTTTCACATTGCTTGGGTTCTGACGAAATTTCGAACGTCGTAGTGACCCGTGATGACGCCATTCGTTTGATTGGCGTTTCAGTTCTGGCTGGTACGATCGGGCCCAAGTCTCATCCAGCATAATGATACGGAGTAAAAAAGCATCTCCTTCGCGCTCTTAGCGCTCCAGGTGGGTTCGGGCAGCATCGTATCGTAGCCATTTCTGCATTTCCGTCAATTGATGTGGAACCCATCGTGAAGCAATTTTTCTCATGGACAGGCGTTCCGTCAGAATGTGCAGCACAGTCATATGCGCTAATCCTGTTTGTCCGGCCAGCTGACGAATCGTTTGGCGGCGATCACTGTCCAATTGTGCGGCAACAGCTTGCACGTCTGCATCTCTGACACTCGGACGAGATGGCCGCAGCATGTCTGCCACGTTTTGGCGTCCTTCGTTGAATGCTTTCACCCATCTTGCAATGCAGATTCCCCGCAAGCCTCTTGAAGCCCTTGATGACACTGTCGTGCTGTACAACCTCTGGCACATTCAATTTTTATCCAACATCGTTGTTCTTGTTTTGAAAACATCCTGACAACACTTACTTTAGACCGCGAGCTAATACAAGGATCCATTTTTCGCGTCACTCCGCATGCGCGTGACGTAGGCAGGACGAGTCTTTTTGCTGAGAGGTAAGGTAGGTATGTAGTTCACGTGTGGTATACGCGATATTCTTTGGTTTAGTTGCGTAGTATTTTTTCAGCTGTGTTGCCACTATTAAAGTTCCAACCCTCGTATTTTTAGAATTCCCTCTGCTAATAACAATTTTTACCTTTTTAACCTATTTTTTTTTAGGCTGGTAGCATTGTTGTTTATCATCTGCTTATTGTTTTTACTTTATTTTTTATCAGTCACAAGGTTTGGTCAAGATGGACATTGTTTTATATTTATTGGTATACATATGTGTATATAAGCAAAACTTAAACAATTAATGAATCATGGTAACAAAATAAATATATTCTTAAATAGGCACACAAAGCTGTCAATTTCTTTGAAGTTAAAAGTTTTACAATAAACAATTCATTCCTATCACTTAATTACTTTAAGCCCTATCAGACTACCAATAATTTTGAAAAATCACTTTTACAACTTATCTCTTTTGAAATTTATATTTCACATGCATTGTTATTTTCAAGTTTTATATTGTATTTTTAATATGCTACTTTTTAGCAACAAAATTGAAATATTAACTACAGTTGTTAATATTTTGAACTTTTTATAGAATATAATATAATAAAGTCAGAGAAAGTTAAGTTAGGTGTACAGCTATAAGGATAAATAAATGCTTTATATTTTAAAAATAATAGTTATAAGAATATATCAAACGGAAAATAAATATTAAAACAAATAGGAAAATTAAAAAGCACTGCAGAGTTTGTCAAAATGTAATTAAGAAATGCATTTTGCTATAGAATCCCTTATTGATTGATTATACTACAGTAAAATTCTTTTAGGACGATGAAACAAGCACACTAAGCACAAAAAAATTTAGTGTTTGAAACAAGGACATTGCATACTTAATGAACTTCCTTCCTTTTCTCAAGAGAAAGCACTTTATTTTTCTGTTTGTTTTAAATGATGGTAGAGTTAACAATATGCTTCCAAAGTTCCAAAATTCTGAAAGTAATTTTTGATTAAAAATTCCCCCTCACAAGAAAATGAAAATGCTGTGCTAGGTATCTTTTCCCCTCTTTCTCTCCCCCCTTTTTTGCGTGTGATGACAACTGTTTCCATTTCTCTTGCTAACAGGGAAAACTATCAGTCTTCCCAAAGATAACTGCTATGAAACTTACAAGGTTGGTCAAGTATGTGAGTAAAACAACAGGTGCAAAGTGTAGAATTATTTTCCTACAACTTGCATAATACGGTTTATAAAGTGACATAACTACACCTACAATATCCAAAGCCATGGACTGGGAACTTAACATATGAGTTACAAGGTTGTAGTGTGATAAAAAAACATTGCTAGAAGATGGCATGCATATCATACAGTGACTATCGCCTCAAAAGTATAATATTATACAGCACAGACACAAGGCTGGTCCAGGCATAGTTGACATAGAGAGCCAAGATACAATGCCAATTTTAGGGAAGCACCAGCTAAATTGTTTTAAGAAACAAATATAGCTACTTTTTGCTTTGAATTATTGATATTTCAATTTAGAGCACCAAATGTGTGGATTGCCTAGGGTGTAGAAAATGCTGAAGCTGGTTCTGCACGGGCATGTTTAACTGCTAGCAATTAGTATTTTAGAATAATAAGTATGTTTCATAATTAGCCAAATGACTTGTTAAATACGAGTTATGAAACTGATACAGAAATACCAACACATGGCAATGTACTTTGGCAGTGTCTTTACCCTATCACAACAAAAGTCCTCAGCAGCAGTTGCTTGAAAATTATAGTAATGTAATAGATTTTTAAATTTCTACTTTTAGTATTATTATAATTTATATTTATATATTATATATTATTAAATTTATATTTATATAGTATTATTATATTTATATATTATATATTATTAAATTTATATTATATATTATATATTTTTAAATTTACATTTCTATTTATTATAGTTTTTTAAAATTTATACAAACGTAATACTTTTTAAAATTTTTATTTAGCTAACAAACACTGCTTAATAACAGAAAAAAAATTACAATTTAACACATATTTAAAAATTCCGTGTGTGTGTGTGTGTGATTATGGCAAAGCCTCGAGGGCTATCTGCCTAAGGGGAGGGATGCCTTCATGGAGGACTTTCTAAGGGAATCTGGCTCGTATACATGTTACACATGGGGAAAAGCATGAAAACTCCAATGCAGCCAGCCCGTTCACGGGATTCAAAGCTCGGACCAAACTACCAGTGTTCAGCAACTTTACGGCTCAGCCGCTGGTGCAAAGAAAGTTTCTCTAAATTATGCAGAATATTAATGCAGTTTTATTTGAAAATATTGTTCGGTATTAAACAAAGTGCAACAAATTGTCATAGCTCTTGAGACAGATGGCATAATGGAACATAAAATGGCATGAATTTGCCAGATGCTGGCAATGTGCATAACCTATTACTTACTGAAAATAGAATGCCTCTAATCTCAAAGATATATTGCATTTGCCAGTCAGTGACTATAAATATTGCAAACACATGCAGCACTTTTATACCCTGTGCAGGTGATTTCAAATACTACTACTCTTTAAACTAACTATTTTTTCACATACTTTATCATCCTTGAAAGTTTTATGGTAATTATTATCATGAAATCCAATAGCTCTTCTTGTAAGTAACACCGTGATTTGCATATTGTTTACTCATAAATTGGTGTATTTAATTACGGCAAAGCACACTAGGGCTATCTGCCTAAGGGGAGGGATGCCTTCGTGGAGGACTTTCTAAGGAGAACTGGCTCATATACATGTTACACATGGGGAAAACCACGAAAACGCCCATGCAGCCAGCCCGTTCGTGGGATTCAAACCTCGGACCGAACTACCAGTGTTCAGTGACTTCGCGCCACCATGGGCCGTTTACTCATAAATAAAAAGTTAAGTGTGAAAATGTATTCTTTTTCATTATAATTTATTCGATAATTCGGACACCGATAATCCGGACCTCAAAGCTAAAATCTTTCTGCGCATGCGCCTCTTTGACGCATGCGCATAGGCGTTTACGCGTGCGCGCAAGACCTTTACGACTGCGCATATGCGTCTGCGCAAGCACAGAATATGTTTTTGCATGCGCGTTTAATGTATAACGGACGTTATAAGCTAAAATGATCTAATTATCTATTTCAGTTAATGTTGATGATTGCGTTGTTCCTTAATCTTCGAACTGGATCCGGCTTATT